AAGCCTCTTAATTCCAGCTGGCCCTGCGAGCCAGCTCCCTGACAGCGCTGTTTATTGACTCGCATGTCTGCCCTATTACCTAGCGTCCCGGGCCTCAGAAGCGCACTGTTTTCTGGGGCGCTCTGCCGTAAGGTACCTACCTGCAGCGTCTTTCCAAAGCCTCAGTTTTTCCACTGGCAAGGCCTAATGCCGTCAGTCACTTCTGGCCATGAGAAGGAAGCAGCCGATAGTAATGAGACAAAATAACGCGCCTGTGATCAGTGGCGAAGGCGAAGTCCCCAGCCTGCGACTCGCCTGCTCTTTCCAGTCATTGAACTCGTTCTCTTTCTTCTTCGATGACAAGTGGAAATATTATTTACATTCTAATCAGCTGAGCGAGGGAAGAGGGAGCGCTCAAAGGGGACTCGGGTAAAACCACCTGTGTGCCATCTGCATCATCCCCCGGCTGCAGCGAGGCCTCGGGTTTGGGGTCTGACCGCGCAGTCGCTGCCCGGGGAGCCCACGTTGCTTCGACCTGAGCAGGGCTCAGGACGCCGGGGTTGGGGGCGCAGCCAGGGAGCTGCTTGTGCGATGCCAGGGGCTCCGCGGGCACCCCGGTCCAGTCGGCGTGGTACCAGCAATGCCATCCTTAGCCTGATGGGTTGTTAAGCCAGGCCAAGCACCCCCAGATCTTTCCTCTGCTGGCAGCCGCTGTTGCAAGCCAGGGGCTGGGGCTGCCCCTTTCTCCTCTCTATGTCAGTCACCCCATGCTTTTGGGCAGAATTGTAAAAGCAGCAGCTTTGCCCCTGAATACGAGTCGGTAGCTACAGGCAAAGCCCCTGTTTGTCCTCCACGGGGAACCAAGCAAGCAGCAGGCCCAAAGGGTGGAAGGCATTGAAATGCAACGGGTGCCGAAAGCAGCTCTGAGGTGGTATCATTGTACGTGCAGAAATAGTGCAAGCCCAGGTGTGAAGGTTGTGGGGGGTCAAGGGATGGGCTGGGGGATGGTGATGGATCGCCGGGTGCCCGTGGTCCCCTTACTGAACACACCTCGGGCACTGCCAGGTGATGGGGGCACAGGCCGGGGGTTGCAGGCGGCCCGGAGAGGCTCCGAGCTGCACTCACCCTGCCAGCTCTGTTATTAATCACACTTAGCGTTATCTCCCGGCAGCCTTGACACTGGTTCTGTTTGCAAGGGTTGGAGGCCGCTGCTGGGTCTCCCGGCTTCCTTATCGACGCGTGCTTATGGGCTGGTGGGCGGAGGGCAGGAGAGCGTGCACAGGGTCCCGGCGCTGCGAATACGCCGGCTCCTGGCACGCCCAGACCTGAGCGCCGCCAGGGCCTCTTGCAAGCAAGGAGGCGCTTGCTCTCCAGAGGAGGGCTGCTGCCTCCTTTACTGATGGGCTGGATTCGCACCTTATCATAACCGCAGGCGATAAGCTGTGATAGGTGTCTCCTGGGAGAAGTGGAGGCGCAGATGAGCTGGCCTGCTCCCTGACTGATTAGGATAAATGCAGAGCGCGCCGTGTCCGGCGGAGACCGTGGGAGCGGGTCGCCTTCAAGCCAGGCCCGGGCAGGTCAGACCCGGGTCCAGCGCTTTTGGACTTGCCCGGCGGTGTCTTCCGAGCTCAGCCACACAACGGGCTCTGAATCGCGGGTCTCCCTGTGCCCGACGGGGGCAAAAGGATACGAGCAGAGCAGCAAGGGGACTCCTGGGGGAGCGTGTCCCCTGGGGGAGCACCCCTGGCCAGATGTGCTCCTGCCCGCTGTATCGGGTCCAAGCAGACTCCAGCTCTCGTGGCCAGCCCCGGCGGAGAGGAAACGCTTGCAGAGCAAGGACCATTTCTGTCTGGGCCCTGCCGGCTTTCACAGGAGCTCGACTTGGGCTCCTTTCCCTTTGTGTGACTTATTGATTTGAATTACAAACCCTGCAGAAGCCTCCTTGTAAAGAATAACTATAAACCATGATAAAATCGTTACAACAACCGGCACCTCGCAGCCCGCCTGGAAATGTGGCTTGCCAGCCCCTCTGCTATCTGCCGCAAGAGTAAATGCACAGATAAATTCATGACCCGGGGTCCCTTAGAAAATTCTCTAAATAAAGACTTTCGAATGCACGGCTTTGCTCGAGATTGGCCTGTTTGTGTTGGTATGGAGCCAACATCCATGAAAAATAGCATGGGCGCCAAAAAAAATCAATTTTATATAATAAATACAGATCATTTGGATGTGCTTCTTGCCAGGAGCAATGCAAACATGTACATCCTCAGCGATTCTTATCAGCGAGGAGGGGAGCCTGCGATGCAGTCGTCAGCTCTGCTGCTCCAAGAGCGGATGCTGAGAAACCGCCCGTTTTCCCTTGGACGGTTTGGCCCACGGTTCAGCCTTTCCTCTTCCCTGCAGTCGACGTGGCTTTTCAGAGCGAAAGGAGTGAAGTTCAGTCTCCTGCACAAAATCAGGAGTCTGCCCTAGGTGCAAATCCATTGTTTTCATGCAAAGAAAAAAAAAAGGGGTCTCCGTAACCAAAACTTGCTTTTCTGACTGCACAAATATTGCTCTGCGTGCTTTCAGCCACGGCGCCCAACCGTTTCCAGCGCTCTCCTTCCCTGGTGCTCTTTCTTTACTGAAGGTACAGCAGCATCTCCCTGCCTCCTGCCGCATCCAGGGCGCCGTTCTGGAACATAAACACGTTGCTGCAAACAGTTTAAATCCTCTATTACAACCGGGGTGGAATAAATAAAATATTCCATCTGCCTAATGTGACATGCAAATCAGACCCCTGTGGATAATCCTGGAGTCTGAAAAGGTGCATGTGGGATGCTACAGCAAATTTAATAAATGTAAAGAGGGTTGTTTTATTTTAAAAAATAACCTTTATGTTACCCGTGCTATAAATTATGTAATAAGAGGCTTTTGGAAGCACAGCATAAGCGGTCGCTCGCACAGAAAATTCAGCGCCTTCATCCCACCAGCCCCGTGCCGCGGCCTGCGGGAGACCGCTGCTGAGGGTTGCTCGGGCTGGGCCGCACTAGACGCACGGACAACGTTGCTTCACCAGGGTGCGAAGGCAGTTCGGTTTTGCCGTGCATGCCCACGGTCTGCCCAGCCGTGCCACCAACCCTTTTTTTTTTTTGGGTAGAAATGCATCTTTGTATTCCCCGACTGGAGGTTGCAGCCTAGGGAAGGGCCCTGACGTGGGTCCCCTGGGACTCTACAGCATTCACCGAGGCCTGCCCGCTATTCCAGCAGTTCCTATTTATTCAGTAAAATGTCTCTCGTGCTTTCTTTCCTGATGCGTGGCAGCAGAGGCATGCTTCGGAGAGCAGCCGTGCCTCCCGGCTCCGCTGGAAACCCCGCGCCCTCCTCAGCCCCATGTCCGAGCCATCCCATCGAGATCCGCAGCAAGAAGTGCTCAGGCGCCGACGGGCTCCAAAGGTTTTGTTTGCACAGAGATGCTGAAATCCGTTGCATCGAGGAGCACCCGCGTGTTGTGGGACATTTGTAAATTGGTGTGGGACCTCAGCCTTTTATATCATACCAGGGTGGTGGGGAGGGAGGGGGTCTGTCACTTTTGGTCTCACTTGATCCTAGCAGAGGGAGCTACTTCTTTTTTATTCAAAAGCCGCCTCTCAAATGGCACCGGGAATGGAGGTACACCCCCAGACACAGCTGCACGCTTCCCTCTGGCCCTACACCCTGGTGCGGCTGCAGAAATCCCGATGCACCGTGTCCACGAGCTGTGTTGGGCCTCAGCCTCCAAACGTCTCGCCCCTCTGGCTCGAATTGAGCAACGTGCAGAATCAGAAAGCAAAGGCCCCCTTTCCCCTCCACGTCCCGTGGCCCCAGAGCTAGGACAGGAGTTTCCCCCACCCCTGACGGCATCCCCGGGGCAAGTAATGACAGGGAGACCCACGACTGGGGGTGCCCTGTGGCACAAGACTCCCACACTGCAGCGGTGATGGGTGCAGAGGTTTGTCTTGTGACGTGGATGGGGAAAAGGGAAGAGTTTGGGGCACGGGCCTGCGGCTCGGTGTTGAGCCGATGAGGCCGTGCGCTGAGGCTGCGGGAACTCGCTGCACGTTCTCAACAGGGGGAGAGAGATAAAGAGGAGACCGAGGGGGACTGAACAGCAGCCTTCAGCTCCCTGCAGCGGGGCTGCACAGAGGATGGAGCTGGACCGGTCTCAGTGGGGGCAGATGGCAGGACAAGGAGCAATGGGCTCAAGCTGCAGCAAGGGAGGGTGAGGTTGGATATTAGGAAAAACTCTCACTAGGAGGGTGACGAAGCACTGGGACAGGTTACCTATACAGCATCTCCATCCTTGGAGGTGTTTAAGCCCCGGGTAGACAAAGCCGCGCCTGGGATGATGTAGCTGGGGCTGGTCCTGCTTGGAGCAGGAGGTTGGACTCGATGGGACCTCCTTCCACCCTCATTGTCTGATGCTGTGAAGGTCCATGGTAAAGTTCAGTTCCCGAGAGAAATAAAGCAGGGAAATAAAATTTGCTATCCACCTAACTTTATGTCCCTTGCGGACAAAGGAGAGACGTGACTCCCAGAGCCATCAAGTTCCCCAGAGTGACCAGCTGCCCCTGCGGGCCGGTTTGCCCGTAAAACTACTTATATTTATGGTCTGATTGACCGTGTGGTACCGTGCCTCCCGCTGCGCACAGCTGCACCCCACGGACAAGCGAAGGCAAACGAGAAGGGAGTGAGATCTGCTCCTACAAACACCACAGGTGCTCAAACACCTTGCCCTGCCCTGCCCTGAGCTGAACAGTCCCGCTCACGCTCGGGTACCTGTGGCCAACCTGGGCTGAAGAGGAGGTGTGCATGCAGCCACGAGCAGTGTCACTCTATTATTTTATCCATCGTGACTAGGTGGAGAAGCTGCATTTCACAGTAAAGTTTATGAGGACTATAAGAGAGCATGTAACTGCTGGTGGTGGTGCCTAATGAAGTGTGTTTGAAATATTGAAGTATATGATAAACCATTATGTAAATTAAATTCATTGATAGCTCTGCTGTGAAATCTCTCTGGTAGCAGAATAGTAGATAAACACAGAGCTTAGAAGGTGCCATTTATTCATCCTTAAAATGGTTCCAAGTTTCTAGTGATTCATTAGCATTCAGCAGAAAACAAAGAGGACATTAGTTTCACAACCAAACTTGAAACGAAAGCACTTGGATGTTGCAAGCAGCAATGCCAGGCTGAACTTCGCGGCTGTCTCGGCTCCTTCCAAGCCAGATCCTTTTCTTTCCCTGGGCAGATCCTGCACAGAAATGTGTTTTTCTCTCCAGCAAGCTCCCAAGGTCCTGGCGTCCCCGCTGGAATTTTTACCAGTTTGACGCCCTCTGTTATTGATGCTTGTTTCTTGGCTGCCAGAGCAGCAAATGTTTAACCATGGAAATGGCATTTGCTGTGATCACCACGATCATCCTGAGCTTAACAATGCCGCCTCTCCCAGTCACGAGCTACGCGCAGTGAATGCTAGGCAGCTCCATGCCTCCGGTACAGAGGCACGGACAGAAAAGCTGGAAGAAGTCTCCAACGCGTACGTGCGCGGCTGTTAAAAACAAAGGCAGGAGCATGTGTGTCAGTACCTTCCCCCATAAATGGTGGGAGGTTTTGTGTCGTTTAAAATAATCCAGGCAGTAAATTGGGAATTAGGTCCGTTGCTTACCTGTGAATGCCTAAAGGGTTGCAACAGGAGCCTGCTTTGCCCAGACAAAGGCCGGATGCTGCAGCCCATCCGCTCCCTTTGCGGCGAGGTCAGGGGAGACCCCAGCACGGGCACGTCGGCCATCGGGGATGCTGGGCTGGAGTGCTGTGCAAAACTACACCCCGGTCCTGCAAATCCTGACCCCAATATCAGCACAGAAATGATGGGCAGGCTCCAGCAGGCTCGGGTGCATGGTCCCCATTGCTGCAGTGAGTTACCTTCCCTTCCCCGGTAGTTTTGCCAGAATGGACAGAAAAGCTTTTCTCTTGGGGCTTCATGCTCCAGCCCCGACAGCATCTGGGGCTCAGGGCCCGGAAAGCACAGACCGTCTCGGCCTCCGCTGGCGCGCGCTGTGTCTCAGACGCGGGTGGCAGGAACAATTGCACCTTTGCGATTCACTTGCTCTCAATTATTGCACACAGGTACAGCCTGGTGGGATGAGAAATGTGGCTTGTGGCTGCCCGGGGAGCAGCGTGGCCCTTCCCCTGGAGCTGTCCAGCCACTCTCGCCTGCCTTGCACAGGGAGGTTGGAGGATTTGCTGTCTGAGCAGCAGGTCTCAGACAGGCACCATGCAAATGCAAGCAAGGGAGCTGAGGGTCCTTGACAGGCTCGGGGGCAATGCCCACCGTGCGAGTGCCCGCTCATGGAGACCGGCCCCATCGCAATGGGCAGTATGGGAGTCCGCAGCCTCTGCCCATCGATGCGCAGCGCTGCAGAGAGCAACGGCCGCGACGACTTCCCCACGTGCCCCTGGCGCTGCGTCTGCTCGGCCCCCCATCGCAGGGCCCGGGCGGCCCTCCTCCCGCCGGCGCGAGGGGAGTTAATGCTGCTGCAGCCCGAGCCAGCGAGGCATGCCGGGAAAGAGACGCCCCACTGCTCTGAAACTAATTTTACAGCTTAGCTCCTATCAAATATCCTGGGCCCCCCTCAAAAAACCTCTTTGAAAGGAGCTCTCCCAACCCGCTGGAAAACCCGCCGCGTGTTTGGGTTGGCACGGCTTCTGCCAGACGGTGGGAGTTATAAATAAACAGCTCCGCGGGGCCTGGAAAAGTCCATCTCATCTCGCCAGGCCCGAGACGGCGTGAGTGGCGCTCTCTGGGGTCCGTCCCTCGCTGGAGCCCCTCCATGACATGACATAAGCCCCCAACAGGACATGACTGCATGTGTGTGAACAACTCGTGTTACAGAGACAGCAGCCCCTATTCACGGGGCCGCCGCTCGCACGAGGCCCCTTTTCTCCCAGCCGGGGAGCCGAGGGCTGGAGGAGCGGAGCCGTTTCCATCCTTGATGGACGATGCTGCACCCCCGGGCTGGGACGCGGGACCCCGGGTCCCTGTCCTGTGCAAGCCGGAGCCAACAGCCTGTCGGGTGCAAAGGGCTGAATCCTGGCCTGAGTCCCAGGGAGCAAACTGATCCCCAACACCAGCAGTGCGGGGATGCCCTGCCCTGCCCCAGCCCCTCAGCCAGAGCCGGCTCCTGTGGGATCCTTCTCCTGCAGCTGGGTTTGCAGGCGAGGGCTGCAGGACAGCGGCTCACGGGTGGCAACTCGGCCTGGTGCTGCGCCGCCGGGCTCGGGACAGGGCCGTGCAACAAACGCCCCACGTGCACGGCAGCACGGTCCCGGGGAGGTCTCAACCGTGGGTCTCTTCCCTCCCCGCCACAACAAGTGAATTATTTTCCAACCAAACTGGGTTTCTGTCCTTCCAGACGGCTCCCCCGGCGCCTGGGCTGCTTGGTGGGAAGCAAGGAGGGGAGAGGCGCTGGGGTTGCTTGCCGCCACTTCAGAGGTGCTTTCATTGCACAGAGCTGAGCAAACCGGCATGGTCCCCACCACACGCAGCATTGGGCACGCTCATCCACCGGGCAAAGGACCTGGCTCAGCTCAGGACTGGCAAAACCAAGCATCTCCCCTGGGTGCTCTGGGCAGGAGTGAGCAGCAACGTGCACGGCCCTATGGGTCCCTGTTGCTGCTCTGGGACATCTTCTGGAGATCTCCAAACAGCCCCGCGCTTTTGCTGCCAAGTTGCAGCACCTGGACATGCTTTGGGACTGCATCAAGGGCCTCCAGCCCGGTGCCGAACCGAGCAGGAGCATGAACTGCCCCCCAGGTCCTGTGAGAAGAGGGATGCTTTCCCCTGCAGCTTCAGTTCATTTCCCAGCAGAGCTACCCAGGGAAGGGCTCTGTGATGCACCCGATCCGCCAGCACCGGCCTCCCCGCCACGGTGCAGCAAGAGGCAGGGGCCGCGGTGCCCCCCGTGCTCGCATCGTGTGTCGCTGACCTAGCTCCCACCCACAGGGCGACAACACAGGCCGGGAAAGCCCACCCTGCAGCACCGACAACACGTCCTCGCCCCCCTGCAGCCCCCGTGCACTGCCCACTCCCCGGTCCCCGCCGTGCCAGGCGCTCCGCGCTGCAGGCCGTTGCTCAGCTGATGTACGACGCCCGCCGTGCCGGCCCGGTGATGTATTGCAGTCATCCTTCACCGGAGTGCCAGCGCGCCGGCCATGTGTTATTGTAATACATCACGGGCATGACGGGAGGCAGCGCCCGGATCCAGTGGGTGCCCTTCATCAGGGCGGCTCATTCCAGCACCCTCCGCTCGCCTTCCCCCCGGCACGCGGGGGCTGCATTTGCACGCAGCCCCGCCGTCAGCTCTGCAGGGGCAGGGCCGACTCCACCGTGCACCGGGGCTGACTCCGCTTTGCACGTCTGCATTCACTGTCTGTTCGTCGATCTGGCTTTATGTCCCCTTCCCAGAGCTGAAGGGTTCCTCCGAGGCAGGTTTTCCATCATGTGTCCCCTGGTGCCAGCAGGGATGGGGGTCATGGCATGCAGACAGCATCCTGAACGGGCAACTTGGGCACCTCCATGCACGCAGCCCCTCGCCCCGACCCTTGTAACTGAGTGGATGAATGGCAAAAAAGACAGCGGCAGGCAGAGTCCGGCCAGGGCTGCATCAGACGCCAAGCCGAGCTAATCTTCTAATCTGCTGCAACGAGCTGCGGCTTTGTGCCCTGATCCCTTCATCCTGTCACCACGCTCGGTTCTCCAGCGCACCTCAGTCCAAGCACCTGTCCTACGCGCTGTCCATCCCCAGCAAGGCACTGGCCAAAATGCAGCCGCCGCTGAGGTGGAGACGGCCACCACGTCGTGGAGCCTGACAGCCGTCTGCTGCGGCTGCAGACGGGAGCTGGCAGCGAGCCTCTGGCTACCTGCAGCTGGAGCCCAGCTACGCGGCCCTGAGCCAGCCGCCACAACGTGACCGCGGCCGGCGGGAGGATGCTGGCTGGTCACAAGGGCGCCGGTCTAGCGCTGTGCCACCGTTGTGCAACATCTGGCCTGTCCTGGGACGTTTCCCATCTCAGTCCGAGCTCATTTGTCTGTCACAGTCCACGGAGGTTTGGGCTGCAGGGAGCCTAACTGCTGCCTGTACTCCCCGACGGGGCTGGCTGCTTCCTACAATGCGACGAGGAGTCAGCAAGAGCCGCGGGGACCCCCCGCACATGCAGGATAGGGACCCCCTGCAAGCTTTCCGCTGTGGTTGCGAGCGAGCCCCTTCCAAGGTCATGAACGTGACGGCCCGTGACAGGTGCAGGGATGACTCAGTGCCACGCGTGGCTCCAGGCACGCAGCCAGGAAGCAGCCGGCCGACCCGGGGGAATCATGCACCCAGCAACTGGCGCAGCTGCCCGTCCAGTGCCAGAGTCCAGCCTGCCTCGCGACAGCGCGCCGGCCTCCCGGCCACGCACATGCAGAGCTGTCTGGCGGGGCACGTACACGGATGCAGAGTCCAGCGCTGGGAAGGGAGGACATGCACCAGGCTGTCCACGGGTCCCTGGGCAATGTCCGTGCCTGCAGACTGCCCTCAGCGCAGCCTCGGTGCGGTCCTGGCAATGCCAACAGACAGCAGCAGAGCTCGAGCGGGTTCGGGGCGTTGCCGGGCTTGCATTCAGGGATCAGGGACGGTGCTGCATGTAGCCAGTGCCCGGAGATATTCCCAGCTGTGCACCGTCAAACTCCAGCCTGTGCTGAACGAATGCATGTCCCCAGATCCGTGCTGAATGCCGAAAGGCTCCCAGTTGGAGGGAAACCACTTTTCCCAGCCCCAGCGGCTGGTGATGGAGGATATTTTGGGTCTAGTGGTAGAGGCCAAAGGGCCCTTCCCACTAGAGAGCAACGACCAGGCCCCGTGGGGCAAACGAGGCCTGGCACGGTGCCAGCCCATGCACTGTGGAGGATGCCTCACAGCAGGCTGCATCCATGAGACATGCGTGCCAGGCGCTGGGAATAGGCCCCGCACGCTCCAGCGACAGCCCCAGGCACATTAGATCACTTGCAGCTAATTAGCAGGCTCCTGGCACGCTGCAGCGCGGCACCGTTCCTCGCAGAGGGGGATGGCCGCGGTCCGCTGCTAGCCCCGGGCGTGCCAGCCTGCTCTGGGGTGGAGCGCGCAGGTGTCCCCATCGCCTTGCCTGGGCCTGGCACAGAGCGGGGCTGCAGGAGAGCTTCTTGCAGGGGCTCGGCCCTCCGCATGGATGCGGCGTGCGAAGGGCAGTGCTGTGCCAGGGGTTGCTCCGGCCAGGCCGTTGCAGAGGCCGGAGAAGCCCTGGGCAGGCTTTCAGACGGGCGCAGACCCTGCTTGGAGCGTGCCACGTCCTCTGCTTGAAGAGGCCACGGCAAGGAGGACAAACACTAGTGACTGTTTGCAGGGGAGAGGGGAGCCAGCATGCAGGCCTTGGCCCCGGCGGCTCCGGAGCTGGGGAGTAGTCCTCGCGGCCGCGGCCCGCTCCGACCCGTCGCCCCGCAGCAGCAGCCGGAGCAGCAGGCAGCGGGCACTGCCTTTTCCAGCTCTGTGGGTGTGATGGGCCTCGTGCCAGAGCCGCCTGCCGTCTGCGGGAGTCCTTCCAGCAGGCTTTGGACCGGGGCTGCGGCTGGCAAGCCGGTGCAGACGCTGGGAAGGATCCGGTCCACCCCGGCTGCATGGCGCGCCCCTAAAAAAGCCGCCTTTCTGCACCGCTTCTCTCCCCGCGGCACGGCCAGACAGCGGCAGAAGGGGGCTGTTTACGTGCGGGGAGCAGATAAAAAAGGTCAGTCTCGCTGCAGCTTGTAAACACTTAAAGCACATTTCCACAGGTTTCCTGGCTGCGCTTTCCCGCTGGCGATCCCGAGAACAAACACTCCTTGTTGGATATCACTGAATTCAGGTAGCGATGACGGAGCCAATTTCTTTCCTTTTCTTTTCTGGCAGGTCAGACTCTCTGCCAGGAAAGGAGACGCGCCGCCTTTTCTCTAACCCCCATGCAAGAGCGCTCGAGATAGCGCCTTTCCAGCCAGCAACCTTCGCCTGGGATCTCATGAAGCAGATTGTGCCTGTTTTCATATGGTTTCGTGCGTCACGAGCAGACGCATCCCGATGCATTTTAAAGTTGCTCCGTGCGTTTCTCCCCAGATCTGTTTCTTGGGAGAGGGGCCGTGCTGGGCCACTCGGCTCACGGCTTGTGAAACGGTTATCTCGCTTGCAAAATAAAAGCGACCACCTCTTTCTAGGTTTGGTTTACTGTGGGGTCAAACAGGTCATTGCAAAGCATATTATCTGGCTTGTTCCTCTGGATGCCTATGAATATTAGAAAAGCTCTATTTTTTTTAACGAGCCAATTAAAGATGCCGCTTCCCCCAAAGCCGCAATGTTAGGGCTGACTTTGCTCAGAAGGGGCCTGGCGGATTTAAAACCGAAGCTTTTGCATAACGACTTCTGCTCCTGCGTGTGCTGTGCGAGCGGCCGGCGTTAAACACCCAGTGCGATGGCTGTGAGGGTTACCCTCCCGATGACGGCCGCCCCTCGGGGTTTCCCTTCCTCCTTCCTGCACATCTGGGGGGATTTGTTGAGTGCCGTGGTTTCCTGCTTGAATCCCAGGCCGGTGCTTAGGCTCAGGATATTTGCAAAATAGAAATGTGGGTGTGAGCACGGACACATGCTCACCTGGGTCTTGGCAGTGGGTCCTGGGTCTCTGCTGCTCTCCAGCTGCTTAGCGCGAAGCAGACCCGGGATGGTGCTCAGATGTTGGGGCTTTCTAGTTACGCCCCAAAAGAGGGGAACCGGCGCCAGGTGTGCGACAGGGCATGGCAGCTCCCAGCTCTGTGCCCGTGCCCTCGCCAGCCCCGTCGAGCTGACAGCTGTGGCTCTGCAACCAGGGCTCCCGCCAGCTGAATTGCTCAGACGTTCCCGTCTCCGTCACGAGTCCGATATCGCGGGCATCCTCCTTCTCAGCCCCGAGGGCTGGCGATGTGGCAGGTGAGAAAGACCTACAAATGGAAATTGTCAGGTTGTGTCACATCAGTGCATTCCAGCTCCATCTCTGTCCCCCGCGCCCCTCTATCTCCAGCCAAGCCGCGGCCCGATGACAGGGAAGAGGCACCTACTCGCCGCGACATCTGTCACCAGCTGGAGAGCTCCCGGCCCTGCCGAGACCTGATGCGGCCGCGGCGCCAACAAGGACGAGCGCCGCAGCTGGTATGAGTAGCTAGGAAAGGAAACCGAGCTACCGGGGCCTGCCCCAGGCATCGAGGCACCTGGGAAGGGGCTGCTGCCCCTGGGATCCGACCCATCGCCGTGACCAGAAGCAGCTGTGCTCTGACAGCTGGCCAGGAGTGCCACGAATAAAGGCGATGGCATGAGCAAACGGTCCCCTTTCTGCAGCCCCCTGGTCACGGCCCACACTAGCCATCATGCAACCAGGAGGGTCCTAATTTTGCAGCCCTGTTGCGGTCCAGTGGTCTATGGCCATCTCAGCCCTGTCACGGGTGTCAGGGGAGTAGCCGGGTTATCACCAAGCAATACAGGGGTGACTGGGTTTATCCCAGGTGAGTGGCAGAGAGAGGGGGATTTCTCCATATAGGGCATGCAGAGCTCCCCAGCCTGTCTACTAGCGTTACGGGGGCAAGAAGCTGGACAGGACCCAGCAGTGTGTCCTTGGGGCCAAGAGGTGACCAGCGTCCTGGGCTGCATCGGCAGGAGCGTTGCCGGCAGATCGAGGGCAGTGATCCTTCCCTCTGTTTAGCACTGGGGAGGCCACATCTGCAGTCCTGTGTCCAGCTGTGGGCCCATCACTACAGAAAGGATGTGGACACATTGGAGAGAGTAATGAAAATGGTTGTGGGCTGGGGGACAGGACTGGGGAGGAGAGGCTGAGGGAAATGGGCTGATTGTGTCTGCAGAAGAGAAGACCGAGGGGGATTGAATAGCAGCCGTCACCTCCCTGCAGCGGGGCTGCACAGAGGATGGAGCTGGGCTGGTCTCAGTGGGGGCAGGTGACAAGACAAGGAGCAATGGGCTCAAGCTGCAGCAAGGGAAGTTGAGGTTGGATATTAGGGAAAATGTTCTCACCAGGAGGGCCGTGAAGCACTGAACCAGGGTCCCCAGAGAGGTGGTGCAGTCTCCATCCTTGGAGGTTTTGCAGACCCGGGTAGACAAAGCCTTGGCTGGGATGATGTAGTTGGGGCTGGTCCTGCTTGGAGCAGGGGGTTGGACTGGATGTGACCCCGAGCTCCCTCCAACCTGAATTTTCTGTGATTCTACGAATCTAGTCTGGCGCCAATCCCAGGCGCTGACATGGGCTCCTGCCCCCATCCGCTGCACCTGAGCTGCCCCCGATGCTGTGAGAGCAGCATGAACGCCAGGACTCCTTGCCTGGTGCCATCAGCAGCCGGTCAATAGAAACTTCCTCACACTCGTGTAAACCCGTTTACACAGAAAAGCACCCATAAACAGGGGCAGATTGGGAGGTGGGGTGCACTGGTGCACTTGCCCTCCTCTTTGATCCCTGCTCCACCCAAAACGTCTGGCCAGGCAGCGCTGAGGGGATCACTTGATTTCATGGCTCGTTGTCATCGACCCGATCCCGTTGAAACTCTTCATTGCGCAGGCGCTAATGACCCCCTCTCCTTGGTAATGCTCTGCAAGCCCCAGCAGCCCCGCGAGCCTCTGTGCTGCCGCGCGGCTGTCTGGGAGCTGCTCCTGGTCACGGAGCTCCTATTTCACAGCCCTGCAGACTTTTTAACCCATTCCCACGACGTTTTATTTGTCTTTGCTTCCATCCCACATGGAATCACCCCGCCGAGGCCCCTGGCTTGGTAGTACAGCTCTTAGTTTCTTTTTGAGTGGAGAAAACTATGTGCTGTTGACAACGCATGCCAACATCCACCCCTTCCTTTTCAAATTTTGGGGCCAAAAGAGCCCCCAAAAACCTGAGGCTGTGGCTATTTTGAGTGTGCCTGGGTTGTACGGTGATGCACAACTAGTGCCAATGTGCGCAGTGCTTGGGGGTATGTAAACTGATTCCCCAGCGACACAGGGACTTCACCCCACTGCCCTGTGCCCCTTCCTGACATGGCACCAGGCCCTGCACAGCCCCAGCTCCGCCGCCTCTTCGAGATTTGGCTCTAAGCAGCTTGCGAGTGTTTATTTGGTGTGCAAAGAAGATTGGAGCTGGGGAAAGCACAAAAAGGATTACTCTGTTTATCGCAGGCTTTCCCAGCCCGCTCCCTATTCATGGGAAAAGTCATTTACTCAGGTTATCCGCAGGCTTTGCTCGCCCCAAAGCCCAGAAAGCCTTGGAAATGAGCAAGAAGCAGAACGGAAAACACGGGGGAGCCTCCGACTCCCGGGAACGCGTGCGCCGAATGCAAAGGGCCGGTTGGCCACACCTGTCTTACTGGTGGTGGGATGGAGCGTCCCAGTCCCAGCACCAGCGGGTTAAACCCCTCCGAAGGCCCAGTGATAATGAGATGGATTTACACCGGCCATCCATTCCCAATGGCCTCAGATTAAAACTTCCCCCTTCCCTTTCTAACAACTTTTCCTTCCCGAGTGCAGCGAGCTCTGCACAGGTGTGCACCGCAGAGCGGGGTGGGAGGGTCGAAATGCTCGGCTTAAAAAGCAAGTGAGGAGTTGGTGTCTTGTCCTGGTCACAGCCCTTACGCACAACCCTGTTCCTGAAGAGCCCTTATGCACACCCACGGCGTCGTGCAGCAATGAATGTGCAAAACCCTCTGGTCCTGGCTACGTGGCAGGTCAGATCGGATGGTCCTAAGGACCCTGCGGGCCTGGGAGGATGAATAAAGCTGATTCTTCATGCATTGTCTGTGTTGCATATAGTGCTTAAAGCAGCAGTGTCAGACTCGGGACACATGGGTAAAGTCCTAGTTTAAACTCCGACTCCGGGTGTAATTTTGGTCAACTAATTTACAGTTGGGTTTTCAGAGGCACCGGGCACACTAACTTCCTCGTCGGTGAGCAGTGTGTACTCAGGGGGAAAACAAACAAAAAACCAAGGTTTAATTAAGCTCCTTGCTCCTCCACGTGCCTCGCTGCCCCAGCCGTCCCTGCCCGCGGGGCAGCTGCGTGGTGCAATCCGTGGCGGGGTTGGGAGAGCCCGCCGTTCTCTACAAACCGCTCAGAATAGCATTAAGCAAGCACAGCTAATTTGGGAAAACTTGTCCCGAGCCAGATTCCAGAGGGCCCGAGGATTTGCTTTGATCTGATGGTACGTTTTAAGGAGTAAGAAAACAAGGGAGCGAATTTGTGTGTCATTACTGCCAGGAGATTGTATTTCGCTCTTTCTTGTGTTTCCAGACGGGAACAGGTGCCAACCCACCTCCGTCTGCGCTGGAAAACCTTGATGTACAGAGTTTGTTTAGCATATTTATGTCTGTTGCTCATTCCTCTCCTAACCACCGAGTTGAATCGGGGATGGCAATGGATGCAGAGGTGCTCCTGGGTCTGAAATAAGCTTCAGCTCTCGCAGCAGGCCTTGCAGAGCGTGGGTCACGTCATACCACACTCGTGTCCGTAACACATGCGACGGATCCGTGGAAATATCCCGTCCCTGGAGACGGCTCCGGACCCGCTAGGATGCATGTCTCCAGGTCTCGATTTCTGCCCTCCTGCCAGACATCAGCTGCAGCCGTGCCGTGTTTGCACAGTTGTGGGGGTCCCGTAGACGGCGGAGCCAGCCTCAAACCTCCCAAAATCACGTCAGCCCCAGAGAGTCTTTGGGACTTGTTTTGAAAAGCTGGCTTCCTCTCCCTGGCCCGTCTCATTGCTTCGCCTGCCTCCCCCTGCACGCCACAATGACAGTCCTGCCAACCCGGGGGTTAGCCCCTGCTGCAGTTGGTCGCTTGCGTCCATAGAGCACGACGCAGGTATTGTCGTCCCAGCATCGAGCTCCTGCGGCTGAGCTTCAGCCGCGCGCCGTGCCCGCCAAGGGCCCTCCAGAGAAATGAAGGCATTCGGGAGCGAGCCCAGCAGACCCCTCCTGGCTACGCGCTGGCCCCCGGCCCCGCCAGGCATCTCCGCATCGGGGCCCCTCTGCAGAGGGGGCACCGCTCCCCCTCTTGCTCCCAAAGTGTTTTCACAGCATTTCTTCCCCGCATTTCTCTCTCGCACACACTCACTCGGCTCTAGCTGGCCAGACTGCTGGTTTGACACTGTGAGGCCTCCCTGAAAAGAGAGATTGTTTCTCAAAAATAAATATTAAATAACTCTAAAATTTCAAATAATTCAGAGCTCTGCTTTTTTCCACGCATTATGAAAATAAAATTGAGGGGAAAAGGTATGTAATACGTTTCCTATTTCCTGTTTCTGCAGCTCTGCGTGTGCCCCGGGGGAGCAACACAAGTGGAATTATCTATCCTCTGGCTAGGAGCGCTCAATTCGGGCCAAAAACACCAAAAAAAAAAAACAAAAAAAGTATGAACTAATCTGAGCGCAGCGCTGGGGAAGTGTGGGAGCGCAGGCCAAACGCTGAGAAATGAGGCAATTTTCCCCGTTTCAAGAAGTGACTAAAATCCCTCTGCAGTTTTCAGCACAGATGCATTTCTGTTCCATTGAAAACCACTTCAAGAGCAAGATCTCCAGCTCTTGGAGCCTGAAGCAAAGAGCAACCCGGCCGCGCACAATGCAAAGGTTGTCTCTCTCGCCGGACTCTCTGGGTGGAGCAGGGCGCTCAGATATCCTTTCGTTGTCCTTGTGATGTTTGGAACAGCTGGAGGAGCTACGTTAAACAAATTAAAAAGCGCAAAATGCCTGTCTGCCCAGCTAGAAGCACCCTTGACGTGGCCCTTCGCATCCCAGAGCTGCAGAAGGGCTGGAGAGGCAGGGTTTGATCTGGCCCAGACGTCACCAGGGAGGCTCTTTAGGAGAGGCGAGGAACCTCCCTGGCTTACAAGGGAGCCCAATCCACTTAGGCAAGGCTGCCCAGGGGGCAAGACCCCCCAGTCCTGTGTCCGGTGCTTCTCAACCCAGCTCAGCAGGGGCACAGAGAGCATTTCTACACGGGTATTTATATGCACCTAAACTTAATGCACCTTTGCTTGAGGCGCACTGAGGTGATTTAGGCACACGTCTACACATGGATACACTAATGCGCATTAAGACGCATTAAATTTAGGCATGAATAGCTAACTAACGTTAGCACATGTGCAGATGTGCTAATGCGCATTAATGTGGTGTGTATCCATTGATGCACATGCCATTAATGTGCACGTGTGCTAATGCGACTTAGCTATTCGCACCTAAATTTAATACCTGCTTTATGCAGGTATTAAATTAAGGCTCATGTAGCCTTAAATCACCATTTTTAAGGTGCATTAAGGGCATGCACGTGCAGACACGTGCCCTTAGCCTAAAATAGCCATTTTTAAGGCGCACTAAGGGCACCTAAAAGAGATATGTGTAGCTGCACCCACCAGCACACAAGTCTGTACCGATTGCTGGGCTGAGCCTGAGCATTTAGGCACAGACGGCTGCACGCACACATGCTCACACGGGCGTTAATGCAAACCACTAGCTCTGGGAGACTGGCCTGCCTGCTGACACCCCCGGTTATCGGGTGACCGGCACTCCATGATTTAATTAAGGGCCGTGTGGCAGGGCTCGTCTCGGTTAGGAGCAGCAAGCCCGGCCTTTCACAGTTTGTGGGCTTTGCAGTTTCAGCCGTGCCATGCTAGTGCTCTCCTTCTGCAGATGCAGCTTCCCAATGGAAAAGTCACTGGAAAAACAAGTGGGGGTGCTCCTCGCACAACTCAGTCGGTGTTATGTCCTGGCTTAGAACGGGCTGGAGGAGGGCGATGTACCCCGGGTTTGCCCTCGTCACTCTGTGGCTGCATGTGGTTTTGCACACCTTTGTATGGAGCCAAGGGGCAAGGCAATCCTTCGGGCAATGTCAGCGCGCAGAGCGCACGCTGAGTATCTCCAGACGTGCAGTGACTCTCCCAGACCCGGGAAGCGCCCGCCCCAAACTTTTCCCCAGCAAGTGCCTCCATCCCCACCAGCTGTGCCAACTGGGGGCTGTAAGAGCAGAGCTCACGTCCCCGCCATCAAGGAGATGGCGAGAGGCAGCGCTCTCCTAGGAGCTGCCGGCTCGCTTGGAAGAGGCCTCCCAGCCGAGGTGCCTGGCCTTTCCAGGCGCCAGCCCTCCCCCCCGCACCT